AAAAATATATTTTAAAAATAACACAAAAAATTGTGTCAGAAAATATAACATCATCAGAATGAGTTGACTTGCTCGAGATTATGTTGAAAATGCAACATTCAGCAAAAGTAATCAACAGATCAAGTCATCCCAGTATGAATCTAAAACTAATGAACGAATGGTGGAATTCATGAAACGGCAGTTAGAAGTAGAAATTATCAACTGAAAAAATATTAATATCATCAATTCTTGCTATAATATTCAAATTTAAAAGAGGAAGAGTACTTAATCCACCACAGCATTTTTGGACATTGTCATTCAAAGTTCAGAGAAGATCAACAAGCAGGATTAAAAGTAAACATTAACAGAATGGAGTAACTCATTTTTTCAATATAGACTAGTGATCGGGCTACTAAAGGTCGATTGGAAATTGATCTTCAATTTCATTGGTTTTTTGTTGAGATCTCCCTGCATTCCTTTTGGGGCTGCTAATGGCAAGGTGCTCAGGGATGTGAAATTTTGGTGGAGTTTTAGACAAAGGCGAGTTGCGTAAATTCCTGAGATAATCCATGTCGTAAACTATTCTGGTACCTAGAACAAAAAGAGTTATTAGTTTTTTTACCCACCTCTGTGATATTTTAGCAACATAAAAGTTCATCTCACTAATACTGGAAGGGGTAGGTCCTTCATTATTCGATATTCCTGCTCGATGAAAAAATAGAAGAATCATTTCAGAGATTCAATATTTTGAAATTGCCTTCATTCAGAGGGTTTTGGTCACATTGATTGGTCTAATGATTTTATACTGACGGATGGAATATGTAAAATAATATGACTTTCCCGTAAACAATTTGATTTCCAAACAGATTACAAAACTTCTCAGTTATATATTCTTTTATTTTCCAAGTTAATTATGAGGGATGAATTTCAAATTAAGTCAACTGCTTTTTTTTGGATTGTATCCACAGGTATGTTTGGGAACGGATCTCCATGCAAGCAAAAATATTCCAAAGAATATTTGAGCTTTATGAAGCTGAAAGGTTTTATCTCTGAATCGCGGACATAAAACAAATAACTGGATCCCATTACTATGAGTAATCAGTAGAGCCTATTATGAAATTTTGCAAAAATATGTGATACTTGCAAAAATCGTGCAAACTGCGGATATCCCCAGTAATAATGTTTTTTCATTCATTAAATTTGTTACCCTGTAGCAAATTGTCCAATCCTGAAATGTTTTTGTATAAAAAGAAAGGAACAAGGCAATTGATTTCAAGATAAACTATACAAAGATGGGTAGATCGTGCAAATAAGTAACTTTCAGACACAAACTGGAAGTAAAAGCCCTTACGTATTTTGGGTATGTGGTATGTGAAAATATGTTTCGATGCGGGTATTATATTCAAGAAAAGATTGGTTTTGTTTGAAAAAATCTTTTTTTTTTATAGATGTATAACAAAACTTCTAGAATTTAGAGAGCAGGTAGAGGCAAATATTTCAATTTTTCAAATAATGTTCTACACGATGATGTTCGTGGTGCGTTCGCAATGGTTCTAATAATTCTCTTTTGCGTTACAAAAATATTGTGGGCAGGTGGAGAATTTCCCCAAACAATAATCCCATAGTTAATTCTTGATTGTATCTGACCATGTTAATATGAAAGTAGACCAGAGTAGTCTAGAATTATTCTTTTCAGGTTTCTTAACACATAACACTGCTTATTGAGTATTTTAGTGAGATTATAGCAGTGCTGACGGAAATTGAGATTGCTGTCTAGAAAAAGCCCTAAAAATTTTATACCTACTGTCAACCCTTTCTATTACAACACCGGATATTCCAATATTTAATGTCTGCCGTGTTAATATTTTGGGCAGTATGAAAAGCTACTGCTTTCGTTTTGAAGGCATTAAAAAATAATGAATTTTCACTGAACCAATTTTGCAAGTTATCAAGATCAGAATTTATATTTTGCTGTAATTCCGGCAAATCTTTTGCTTTAAATAGAAGGGAAGAATCATCCGCGTACAAAGTGAATGACTTTTGCAAAATAGATGGCAACTCATTGATATAGAGAGTAGAAAGAATTTGCCCCAACTGATCGGAAAAGAAAGTTTCGTTATAATTCTCTTTCGAATATTGTATCTTGACAGCCTGGATGCGATTTGAAATATATGATACGAACCATTCATGCTGAATACTTCTAATACCCGTTTTATATAGTTTGTCTAGAAGATTTCCGTGTCGTACACAGTCAAAAGCACGTCTGAGGTCACAAAAAATCCCAGTGGGATTTTCGCCTGCTTCAACAGACTGTAGAAGATTCGAATAAAAAGAAATAATTGCAATTGTAGTGGAATGATTCGATCGAAATCCATGTTGGTGCGGAGTTAGAATATCATTTAAATTCAGAAAGTTATGTGTGAATTCTAACATTATGTATTGGAATACTTTTGAGAGTGCTGAGGTAACAGCAATAGGATGATAATTTTCCAAATTATGAGAGTTTCCTTTTTTTAGGATTGGAGAAACTATAGAATGTTTCAGCAGCAAAGGAAACTGTCCTTGCTGAAGGGATATATTTATAAGGTACCTTAGGGGCGCTATGATGTAGGGTGCAATCCTTTTGATAACATGCCCAGCGATGCTATCTGGTCCACACGAATGTTTGTTTTTGATTTTGTCCATAATCACCTACAGTATATCATCTTCACTGACAAAAGTAATGAACATAATATTCTCAATATTCTGTATCAAATTAGTCCTCAAGGGGTTATTTGTAGTTTTGTTTATTTTGTCAACAATATCATGTGGAGTATTCACGAAAACGTTATTAACAATTATAAGCGACATCGATTGGATTTTCTACAAGACCATTGCTACACAATATCGTATATGAAAGAGGTAACATTTCACTTACATGGATCACTATCATCCTCAATGGCGTACAGCGATGTTTCGGTATAAGACACTTGTCTTATTGCCTTTTCAACACCAAAATGAATAACGTCACGAAATGAAGCAGTCAATCCATTCATAAAATTACGACCTTATGTCACGGATGAATTAAATCTACTCATATCATCGATGACAGTAGGTAATGATATTCATTCCTTATCTGATTCAATCCCAGCCTCCCAAACAAAGAAACAAGGTAATTTATTCAAAATTAAACTATACAAACATGTGTGGATCATGCAAAGAAATAACTATGGGACACGAACTGAGTTCCTAAGCACTTTTTTTGTGTTCCAGCTACATACTCTAGGAACGATATCAATTTTTAGATAACCTTCACGAATTTGGTCGTTAGATTTGTGTATCACGTCAGAATACAGCAAGCCCCTCTGTTCATAGTATTTTGTAATAGTACTTGTTGATGTATTTAAAAAAACGAAACTAACTTTTCGCCAACGTTATAAAAACAAAAAGAGATACCATGAAAATGAAAATTTTTGAGTTTTCATGTAATAGTGAAAACTATAAGAGTAAAAAATTTCGCCAACTTTTTCAGAGGCCTAGGTATTTATGAACACATCATAACTTTAATAAAGTATTTCAAAGATAGGAAACTTCGAAACAAAGTCCAACATTTGAAACTATATAAAACACTTTCTTTGAAATGGTAAATACAACGAAGGCAAGAGTTTCATTAAACGAAATATCGATTCTATTCTCACTATTGGTTTCGTTTATATTCAAATTCAAACAATATTCTGATACTATTTAGGTAAAAATTGTTCTGTAGATAAAATACAGTGGTCGGACGCGCGTACTGATTTGTGGAATATTTTTTAAACTACGCAGTTCCAAGTAATCATAATATATCGTTATCAGAAATTTATTAGGGTGACCTCGAATAAAAAGTATATACATTATTAATGAATTGTGTTCAAGTATGTATTGAATTTCAGAACAATAAAAACATTAGGACACTTCAAAATACCCAAGTATGTCTATTTTAGTATACACACAAGTATACCCAAACAAAGGAAAACAAACCATATCAAAATTGGTACATAAAATTATAACCAATGTTTCGGAGGTAAAATTATTCGCAATCTTCAATTGGGGTGAATTTAGATTTCATACAAAGAATGAGTTTATTTGATTATGGGCTTGTTTTAGACACAGTCATGTTATACGTTTTGTGGGAGGTATGTTTATGAAACCCTGAATAAGAATTTTTTATCAAATTCGAAACGTTGGCAAGAAAGCATTTTTTTTGTGAGAGAAATTGATCTTGTTACCCAACTAAACCTTCCATATTATAGGTACATAAAACAGAAACTAACCAAAAGTTCAACTGTGGCCAGTACTCAATGTTATGAGTACCCCAATGAAACGATAATTTAGTGATTAAAAAATTACGTTTATGACCTATATCTTGACTAGTATCATTTAAGACGAACTGTTTGTCATTCTTTGAACATGCTAATTATCAATATATCTAGATGAAATAATTTTCTTATTTACTTTTCGTCATTGTAATCAATACTCATTTCAAAATCTAGTTTTGTAGTTTTGTATTAAGAGGCTGACTATTGGTTATTTTACCCCAAATTCTGGTCACTAACTATTTCTGTCATGATGGAATGATTTAGAAAACTAAAGATAATTCCAGTCTACTGCATATGATTGTTTCAATCAAATCATGCAAATACTCCTTACTTCCTTACTTCTTGATATGTAAACCTGCAGAATACCTCACACTCGTTTCCGAGACGCCACTGTGGGATTGTCCGTAAAAGGGTCAACTGCTACTGATGTGCAGCACACAAACAAATTAAATGAGGAAATAATGAACGAAGTTCGACGCCGATGTTATGTAAAAATGCAAATACAAAACCATATTTACATTACCGCTGTCTCTAGTATGTCTTGGGCGTTTGCACGTGCCGAATAACAACCTCATAACCTTGAATTCGACGGCATTCACAACAAAACATTCTTTTTCACGTTTGACTTTTAAATCTAATACGCAATTTCGGCAAAAAACTCTATTCGCCGATGTGTTATATAAAATTGTTTACCTATCGTAATATTCAACAACAGTTATATAAGCTGTGAATATTGGTGGGTGACGGTCATTGAATTAATCAGATGAAATTTTTGTTATTTCAAGGAAGATAACGCAATACTTCGGTCTTTTGGTGGTTAGTTTGGAGCTAGTGGCCGTTTTTTGCAATAGTTTGGACTAGATGTAACCAGCGACATCGTTCACGTGGATGTTAGTTTTTGGGTTTTTCCAGACTTTCTACCGAACAGCAAAAAGTTCCCATTTATCTGTCCAGCTTTGATTTAAATTCTTTTACAAACTTTGAGGTTTCCACTAAAAATTGAACAATATTTCTATAGTATTTTCAACATAATGTTAGATATCGGAGTATACTCTGCCACCCCGTAGTTATGCACGTGCCCCTCTTCAAGATATTTCAATATATAAACATAACATAATATAAACAAACGATACATCCAAAGGGCATTCGATCGATACACCGATTTCGGACCCTTAATAAATATTTGGAAATTAAGAATTGTGTTTAAAATATCCGTTTTCTGATAATATATTTGACGTGGATCTTCATATTGCCACAACTTTTTCATTTAGCTATAAACCGATTGAAATAAATGAAACACTATATTTTACGTGAATCTCATCACAANACATTTCAAGAAATAAGTCATTTGGATCACTAGACTATTTAAATGATTTTTGTATAATTCAATGTTCATATAAAAAATGTTTCTAAAGTACTATTTATTTCTTGTGATTCAATGTTTATATGAGAACGTGGTTGTTTCAAAGTTCATATATGAAAGTAAATTCTACGCATGATCTAAACATCTTTCGAAAAAGTTTATTCTGAAATTAATTGCTTTCTTCCTCTACTCATATATAGATGGAGGAGAAGAAAGCCAAAATCTTTATTTCTCAAAAACTAATCTCTCCTAAAAATATAACCCTTTCAATTTATATGAAGAATGGGGAGAATTATATTGTTTGACGTAAAAATGTTCCCAGCAACGCTATTTTCCAGCATATATGATTTGTTCAATCGAAAAGATATAAAAGATTGTAGAGAGATATATTTTTCAATTACATATTTTCGCGAGCACAATTTATACAACAGCAGTTGATTAAATTCGGTTTTGTTTGTTTTATGAGAGATTGAAGAATTTCTCAATGTGCATTAAAAACAAGAATAACGCTGAGTTGAAATTCTATGGTAATGAGAGAATTCTAGAAAGATAAAGGAAGCTGCTATTTTTGCCTACTGTTGCTCAGTTGTTATTTGATATAAATGGGCCTACGTGGCCAATAAACATAACATAACATAAACATTACAACTTCGATATTTCAAATATGACGTGGCATGAGTAATGATATGCTTGAAGAAGCTATTCTATAGCGAAACACGTATTGCGTTTTTGTAAAATTGTTTAGTGAAAATCTTACAATAAAGTGTTTTTTGTACAAACGGACCAATTATATTATCTTAAAAATATGCGAACTACTATATGAGGGAATAAATGAACAACAGTTAAATGTGACATTTATATTTGGTCATCTTAGTTTCGTCGAACAGAAGCTAGTTGTAACGAAAAGTCAAATGTATGAAAATTTAGGTTATCTAAATATCAGGAAACTCCTTTCATCATATTTATATTTGAATAATGTCAGATATTCATTCTCCTGGTTCATGATAAGACAAGATATGAAATGACATTTCTATATCGTTTTAAATATCAAAACTCAAAAAGTATTGAATTCAGGAAAAATTGTATGAAATGGCAACGCCACCTGGGATTTGAACACATTGTTATAATTTTCTCGATAGAATCCAATGAAAAACAATTCCCATAACATTCTATAACAATCAACGAGTTAGATATTGCCTACAACATTGAACAAATTTATTTTTAGTTAAAAAATGCAGTTAAAAAATACTTCAATATCACTTGTTTACTCTGAAATTGCTTACTATTGTTTGATATATTTTGAGTTTTTGGCCTCAGAAAACTTCTCAGTCGTCCTATTAAGATCCGAAAAATAGTTGTCAATCGACAAAAGTTATCATCGACTAAAAATATTCAAAAATAAATAATTCATTATTTTTAACTAATCCAAAGCCTTCAACCAATCATTTTGTAACTCTCAGTCTTCTTTGAATATTACAAATGATTTAAAAAATGTACTTTGGTATTGAAGGTCTTCCCAACTCCCGGAACTTAATAAANTCGAGAAATTAAAAAATACAGACCATAATTTAAAAATTGTTTTCACCCTGTAACGTGTAACGAGCTACTCGTGATTAAATGTACTGCTTAGCTCAAAGGTTAAAGTTGACTACCATATGAAATTTTTTATGCAATATCATTCCGAGTGGCGGAAAAAAATCCCTCAAAATTTGGACACAAATTTAATTAAATAACTTCTTAATGTTGAATGGAACACCCCGTATTTGGTGGCGTAATTTGACGCAAAAGTAGATTTCCTCCAAAGCTATATTAGAGTTCCCTATACCTATATCTTCTGCTTTTTACACAAAAGGCGTTTTTATATTTCACTTATGAGTAATTTTTTATCTTCAAAATGAAACACGCTATATTGTAATGAAAAGCCTAAAAAGCGTTTTAAACATCTTTTTATTGTAGTTTGAATTATGAAATATTAAAAAGCATTCTTCAAAATAAGAAGAAGCATGTGTCAAAATATGTTACATTCACTTGTTTCTTAGCAAATATATTAGACTTCATAGTGGAATAAATACCAAAATTACAATATGGGGTCAATAAAAACATACATTTACGATTGCCTATAAAACCTATTCTACTATTTTTTCAATAATAGTAGGCTCTGGCCTAGATGACGTTAATTATTATTATGAAACAAAAAGTATTTGACAGTGACAGAACTTGTTAATCAAACCATTATAATTGTTTTAACTAGTTTAAAATTATTGTCATTTTGAAATATTTTAAAATGAGAACTTATCCCCAGGAAGAACGAATTGATATGATTTTGATAATCGGTGAGTGTGAAGAAACCTGTTTATTAGCGCCAAGAGTATATGCCCAAAGGTATCCTAACAGGAGTCATCCTAACAAGCGTTCATTGAAAAAGTTGTTGCAGCTTTTCCAAAGAACAGGAAGTGTATCTTATAATATGCAAGAACGTCAAAAACCGGTTACTGGAAATGAGAAAAATGAATATTTAGTGATGTTATCTCTAATTGAATACCCTCACACAAGTCAACGAATAAGCAGACAGAGTATCCAAAGAATAATTAAAAATTACAAATTTCACCCGTATCGCATTTAACTACATAACAGCTTTTTGAAGAAGATTATGATCGACGACTGAATATTTATTTATGGGTTTTAGAAAAGTTTGGTGATGAAGAAATTTTTTTGATTATGTGCTTTTTTCCGATAAGTCAACTCTCCATAACAACCGATTAGTTAACAGACATAACTTTCTACAGTGACGAAATCCTAATATTTTCAGAACCCTTGATCACCAGCACAGATGGTCTGTTAATGTGTGGGTGGAACCATTGGAACGCAAGTAGTAGGTCCTTACTTTTTTGATGGTCATTTAAACGGCGTCATGTTTCTCGGATTTATTAGGGATAATTTGCCTGCGTAATTTGCTTAAAGTTCTTGTACGGCTTTTGAAAACTTAGATATTAATCACGACTAAGATCTTTCCCACAAACGCCGTTAAAAATAGAACGGGAAACATTTTCATTTTCAGAAAACTGACCTTTATACAAAGGTGTTAAATATTCATGTACGGCTTTTGTGAAATTAGATATTAGGTTCATTTATTTTGTCATGTCGTATGCACGGCAAAATTCTAGTTTACAGTCGTAAACATTTATACGTTCTTTTTGGACAGTGACATAATCTATCAAACAAATATTATCCCAAAATTTAAAAAAATGGCCTCCAGTTTGTTCACCCATTATTACCTAATTAGTCTTTCATTTCTGTCGACCATTCATTTTACGTAGGTATTTACATTATTACTAAGTATGCCCATAAATATATGAAATTCATTCATTGGATTTAACATTGGATTCATTGGATTCTCAATAATACCTATAGTATTTTTGTGATACCTACCTCCCGGTGTAGTTGAAAATGTAGTTCCTCCAGGTGTAGAAGAACACTGTGATGGGATTTCAGAAGGATCCTTTACTAACACTCGTTTAATTGGTATAGATTTGCTTTGCACAGCTGGCTTTTTAGGAGATTCAGGCATGGTGTATAGACGATAACCTAATCACTTGACACTGTAACCCTTCACGTACAAATTACAAAACAAAATGAATTGTGTTCAGGCGACTTTATAAATAAACTTGGCAGAAAAACGGCCGGTCCCCCTACTCCAAGATTTTGTTATCCTATTCACTCTTTCTCATAAACAGAGGCGGAGGTATGCATGTTCATTTACTCAAGAATTGGGTATAGTGATTATAATTTTAAATTCAACTTATCGTTTCTTTCATAATTATCAGCATCAGCTCGAAATGAAATGTTTATTTGGTGTTTGCTCTAAAATGTACAAACTGTTCAAAACTGACTTTAGAATAATTACGCTCTGCTGGCTTTTACGGAAAGATGTTTCTGCTGAGGGCTAAACGTTTTCCGAAAATATATTTTACTTTTATATTAAAGAGTTTATGATGAGTGGTAGCTATATATTTTTTCACCCTAAAAGTATATGCCTAGAGGATGAATGAAAACTCAAAATACTATATAAAACATTTTTATCCCGATATTCAGCATCTTTTCTGGCGACTTTCCAAATCTGAAAGCTTTGACAGAAATTCTATAGTAGGAAGGCCACGGACTACAAGAACTGTGGAATTGGTGGAGGTGGTTCTCGAAGAAATCAGTGAATATCCAGAGACAAGTACAAGAAAAATTAGTCAAACTTTAAATGTGAGTCACATGACCGTTTACAGAATTTTAAAGGAACAACAATTATATCCTTATCATATTCAGCGTGTCCAGGCACTTACGCTACGTGATTTCCAACCACGTATCGAATTTGCTCAATGGCTTCAAAGAAATGTCGAACAACATCCCCAAATTTTATCGAAAATTCCCTTCACAGATGAGGCAAATTTTTCAAGAAATGGTATCATGAACTTCCATAACAACCACATCTGGGCGGAAGATAACCCACATGCGATAACGCAAACTCAATTCCAAGAAAGATTCTCTTTCAATGTATGAGTAGGATTAATTGGAAAATGTTATGTTATTTTATGGAAGATGTTCCCATTGGTCTCCGAATCACTCTTGGTTAATGCACGATGGGGCCTATAGTCACATGATCTGTTTTTCCGAAAACGATCTAACGAGGACAACTCAATTTGTTTCTCCCGAAAAAATATCTGGTCGAAGAGGAATTCGAACTCAGAACCTTTTAGAGAGTTCGGCACACTACCATTACCCCAGTTCACCGATGTCGTTAATATTAATTGTAATCCTTTGCGCAACATGTTTCCGTAATATAACCTGATTGAAACGCCGCTGCATTAGTTTGTGATAATGTTACCATTCGATTAAGACAGTGCAAATACACTTATCAGTTATTCAGCTTTGGTTGGATAAATACTTATATACTTACCATTTTTAAACGACGGGGTGTGTCACATCCCTGACTTTTTATCAAAATATTGCTCATAACGAAACCTTGATAATATAGAGATATAAATACGTATTTGTTTCGACTACACACTACACGTGTTAAAAAATTTACTACGCATCAACGACTGAGTGATGATAATATTGTTCAGGTATTTCATATTGACATAACAGTTCGTCTGATGCAAGAATGATATAAACCATCCTCAGCTTTGCTAGAAACACAAAATTGATTTTGTGAGATTTTCGTAGGAATCAACGTTTACAAATAGCACAAATAATTTATAAATTTCGCACATAATAATATCAACTCCCTACTCTTTCTTGTTTTACCTACGTTTAATGGTAGATATAACTGAAACCGTATGTACAACGATCCTATTCTTTTTGTATAATTACGTATTGGCTTATTTCAGAATTAAGCACCTATAGCAAACATCGCCAAATGCCTATACGAAAAAATCAATAAAGAATTGAAATGTTTCTAAACTAAATAATTGTAGGGAAAACCCTACAAGTAAATCTCAATACACTGAATTAGTTGAACTACAGTAGGGATGAACAAAGGCTCAAATAATCACAGTACTGTGATCTCAGCTGAGGAATTAGAATTGTCCAGAAAGGTAATTAAATTTTGACAATTCAATATAATCTGATTCAATCTATTCTGCGTTCACAAATATTCTATCAGGTTTTGACTGATATTGAATTGAAGAAAGTCTAGCTAATTTTTAATTACTTCTTGATCGGCAGTAGGAAGAGTTATTGTATTATTGTAATTCTCTATCAGCTTTCTTCCTTTAGAGTGGAATTTTGGTATAGCTGGAATTCCTGAATAGCATCGTTATATTTTATTTCATCGTCTGAGTCCAGAGTACCAAAAAGTCATTTGGAAGTTTTTCCCACTAAATTTAACAAACCGCGCTTTGAACGCTTTTGAGTTTCAATATTACAATATTCTACTTATAGAATAAGATACTCGGCGTGTTTTAGTAGATCGGACAAAAGTGTTCGTGAAAGGTTAATTTTGACATTTTCTACTGTTTCATCTAGTATTTCATCGTAGTGCATTTGCTGATTAGATTTGCCTACTTGATCGGCAATTTTATTATGAAAGGATCGTAGATATTTAGTTTATTGAAAATTCGTGATAATTCGACAAAATGGATGAAGGTGTGTTTGGTTTCGATTGTTTTGGAAGTTTCAAGGTAGGTATAGGGGAAGGTGGGGGAATTGGGAACACTTAACTTAAATGACAAAAAAGTAACTTTTTTTTATTTAAAAAATAATCAACTTTTATCAAAACATAAACATTACTTATCTATCTGTTTATAACTGACAAAAAATCTCTTAATAATCAACTTTTTATTAGACATATTAATGAAAACAAAAAACCTTGCCGTTCCTTTTTGCCCGAAACCCCATGGGGTAATTCCACTAGGCTAACAGCGCACACTACTGTTGTGGTGACACCACGTTCTTCGCTTGTTGCTTTTCCTATTTGTTTTACACCTTTTGGGACCAAAATCTTGTAGTTTTTTTGAACAGTGCTTATTCCGATCTCGTTAATATTAAAAATGCGATGACCAGGTATATTGTGTTTAGCTTGGATCATTTTTAGTTGGTCAAAAAACAGGTTAACTTCAGTAGCGTCAAAAGCTGTTATTCTGTTAATAGAGGTAGCTTCTGGCATACCTAAGCTGATGTCATGTCTGGCCATGAATCCATAATACCAATATTCGCCTGCTAGCTGCGGCAAATCAGCCCTCCAAAGTACCGGGAACCAACAAAAAAATACCCCTTCCACATTAGATGTTTAATTTTTTCCTTCTTAAAATGGCTTATGTCCCCGAATACGACTCATTGGAAAATGTTAATGAAGAGATGACATACTGAACTCTGGATTTTCAGCCCTCCAATATACCGGGAATATAAAAAAAAACATCCCTTCTACATTGAATATTACTCTCAGACATCGTTCAGTTTCAACTGGAAACCAGATTTGGCCCCTATTTATGCGTACTTTTTGCGTTCCTAGTGAATTGTATGAAGTGATTTTGACTTGAAAAATGCTGTTTTTTAAATAGTTCTGATAATTGAGCTCAGATGACTGAAAGTAATGATATTTTGTTTCATCAATACGTTTTTTGTTTCTTATTTCAACCGAATCCAAATTTGAATGTAAACGGAATTTTAAGATACAGTTTTGAACAGAGATTGCGCAGATTATAGTGATTGTATAGTTTATTTCTGAGTCAAATCTATTCACTTCCACTCCTCTTCAATTCACAATTCATCATTCTTTTCTGCAGACATACATAAAGGACAACATTCATCAATCTCATAGTATAATCGGAAACATTTCGGTTCTAAAATCCTATTACACGTTTTGCATTCAAAGCATTTTTCTGTTTCATCCACGTATCGACCACACATCAAACAATACGGAATCATTTTTTCTGATTTCGTCAATAGGTGTTTTTTTCATATGATTAGCGTGTAAATAACTCTGACTGAAAAGTTTCCTGTATATAATCTGTGGTATAGGTTTAGGTATTAGGTAATGTTGGAAAAACCCGCCATGAGATTCAATGTTAAAAACAATTAGCAAATGTTAGTGCATATAAAGCCCAACGAACTTATTCTTTCAACTCTTTCAAGTCCGCTGGGCGAACATTTCACCCACCAAATTTCATGAACTACCATCTCAAACCATTCCCATAGATTGGGCCATCGGTTTAAGGAGCATCCCATCGCGATTTAATGCTTGTATTGGCTATAGTTGTATGTGTCATGGCGCAGCTGCGCACTTATTAGTCCCAATTTTGCAGCCGTACAAACGTGAAAAATCAAGTGGTAACGTGTCCAGTATTTTCGACAGTTTATTTGTTGAATTGAGTCAAATATCCATCACTATTCTAACAAAGTGCTGATTGGAATCGTTTTGGGTACTATTACAGAAGGTGGTG